TTGGTGATCCATTGACAATTGTAACATTCACTCATTAACTTATTATTTAATTAGATTTTTTCCATTGTCTAAATGGGTCGGCCCAGTACTGTTGGAGGAAGTGCTTGTACTGTTGGGCCAGAACATTTGAAAAGCTTCCTGAAATGCTTTATGTGTGAAGTGTGCCCTCTTTTTTTCATTTTAAAAAAAGGGCAGATTGCAATAGAAATTGTCACTTTTATAAATGAACCTTGTTACATCCCCTTGGGTGTCAATCATACAACCATTCCGGTTACTTCCTGGTTGTTTAGCTCAGTGGAGATAACCTCAAGCATTTCCCAGAGCACCTGCCTTGCAAAGATTTCTCATTGAGCTAATTTGGGAAGTCTGTGATTGCACAGCCACAGAATGTCTGGGAGGAGTTAGAAGGGGAGGGCTTTAAAAAATATACTTACTGCACAGTCTGTGATTGTAAAGCTGGGAAAAGTGCAGTTGCTCTGCGAGAAGCCTCTGATTGGGCATTCCGCAGCACATTAAATTAAACTCACTATGACACGCATGTTCTACTAAATTGTCCAAAAATAAATCACCGGAGGTGAATTTCTATTTACCAGAGATAATTGTTCTTTCTCCAATGTTTAGATTTATTTATTTAATAGAGCGTTCCTTTAATGAAACTCTCCCACCCTTATTGCATCAGCTCACTGAAGTTGTTATGGGGTCAAGAGTGTCCGGAGCTTCAGGGCTTATACAAACAGTTTAACTCTAAATGTGGTCACCCTGGCCTGCACCAGATTCCTTGCTTTCAACCGAGCATCAGAATGCTGGTGCAGGTCGTGATAAGCAGAGAGGGTTCCTGTCTCTATCATTGGGGACCCACCTGAAGCTCTGGAGATTTCTGACTCAGGTCAGAGAAGGCATCTCCCAGCGCTCGCTGTGTCTGCACCAGGTTGTAGAAGTGAGCAGTCATTGATCTTGCCAGCTGCAGAACTCCTTCATATTTACGTTTGGTGTCTCTCAAAAGCTCGATCTGCGTTTCCAGTTCAAGATCCACAGTGCGAGATCCACGGCCAAACCGTTCAGAAATCAACTGCTTTGTACACTATATGAAGAGAGAATATGTGATCAGATGGAGAAGGTGAAGACAGTCAGCAGGTACGAGACAGCAATTGGATGAAATGTGATGTTACATACCATTCATCTAATTGAAGTGGTTTTAGTACCTGGAGTCCCCCATTTTAGAGCAGTTTAATACTGAACGAGGGTCCCTGGCCATTCATAGCCCAGCCCCCACTGAAGGTGTGGCTAATGCAGAGTACACACTTCCTTCCAGCCACATCCATTCAGCCAATCACAGCCACCCATTTAGCACAAACATCATAGAGGTAATGGGCTGCATTTAGCATAGAAACAGATTAAGGCTGAATGGAAGGATGGCTCCAAAAAACTTCAGACACTATAACCACTTCAATTATATTAGCTTGCTATGATGCCTACAGTATCTCTTTAGAGGGAAACAGCAAACACCATAACAATTGATCCTTCTAGTACACAGTGTATTATAACTGCAGCTATAAGGTTATGGTGTAAGGAGGTCCCCTGTCTCCCTGCACACAGTGTATTATAACTGCAGCTATGAGGTTATGGTGTAAGGAGGTCCCCTGTCTCCCCGCACACAGTGTATTATAACTGCAGCTATAAGGTTATGGTGTAAGGAGGTCCCCTGTCTCCCCGCACACGGTGTATTATAACTGCAGCTATAAGGTTATGGTGTAAGGAGGTCCCCTGTCTCCCCGCACACAGTGTATTATAACTGCAGCTATAAGGTTATGGTGTAAGGAGGACCCCTGTCTCCCCGCACACAGTGTAGTATAACTGCAGCTATAAGGTTATGGTGTAAGGAGGACCCCTGTCTCCCTGCACACAGTGTATTATAACTGCAGCTATGAGGTTATGGTGTAAGGAGGTCCCCTGTCTCTCCGCACACAGTGTATTATAACTGCAGCTATAAGGTTATGGTGTAAGGAGATCCCCTGTCTCCCCACACACAGTGTATTATAACTGCAGCTATAAGGTTATGGTGAAAGGAGGTCCCCTGTCTCCCTGCACACAGTGTATTATAACTGCAGATATAAGGTTATGGTGTAAGGAGGCCCCCTGTCTCCCCACACACAGTGTATTATAACTGCAGCTATAAGGTTATGGTGTAAGGAGGTCCCCTGTCTCCCCGCACACAGTGTATTATAACTGCAGCTATAAGGTTATGGTGTACAGAGGTCCCTGTCTCCCCACACACAGTGTATTATAACTGCAGCTATAAGGTTATGGTGTAAGGAGGTCCCCTGTCTCCCCGCACACAGTGTATTATAACTGCAGCTATAAGGTTATGGTGTAAGGAGATCCCTGTCTCCCCGCACACAGTGTATTATAACTGCAGCTATAAGGTTATGGTGTAAGGAGGTCCCCTGTCTCCCTGCACACAGTGTATTATAACTGCAGCTATAAGGTTATGGTGTAAGGAGGTCCCCTGTCTCCCCGCACACAGTGTATTATAACTGCAGCTATAAGGTTATGGTGTAAGGAGGTCCCCTGTCTCCCCGCACACAGTGTATTATAGCTGCAGCTATAAGGTTATGGTGTAAGGAGGTCCCCTGTCTCCCCGCACACAGTGTATTATAACTGCAGCTATAAGGTTATGGTGTAAGGAGGTCCCCTGTCTCCCTGCACACAGTGTAATATAACTGCAGCTATAAGGTTATGGTGTAAGGAGGTCCCCTGTCTCCCCATACACAGTGTATTATAACTGCAGCTATAAGGTTATGGTGTAAGGAGGTCCCCTGTATCTGTCTCCCTGGCACACAGTGTATTATAACTGCAGCTATAAGGTTATGGTGTAAGGAGGTCCTCTGTCTCCCCACACACAGTGTATTATAAAACTGTAGCTATAAGGTTATGGTGTAAGGAGGTCCCCTGTCTCCCCGCACACAGTGTATTATAATTGCAGCTATAAGGTTATGGTGTAAGGAGGTCCCCTGTATCTGTCTCCCCGCACACAGTGTATTATAACTGCAGCTATAAGGTTATGGTGTAAGAAGGTCCCCTGTCCCTGTCTCCCCGCACACAGTGTATTATAACTGCAGCTATAAGGTTATGGTGTAAGGAGGTCCCCTGTCTCCCCACACACAGTGTATTATAAAACTGTAGCTATAAGGTTATGGTGTAAGGAGGTCCCCTGTCTCCCAGTACACAGTGTA